ATAGTGTTCTAGTACTTGAATGTGCTCTGAATTTATTCAAACAAATATTTCCTATGAGTCATTTCCATATGAGGCAATAAACACACACACAGAAATTTTGCCTCTTGTGAGTATTTCTGTAGGATAAATTACTAGAAGTAGAATTTCTAGGCAAAAATGAGGTGTGCGTTTTTAAGTTGATGATACCGATACATTGCCCTCCAGCAAAAGTGCACCAATATCCATCCATTCCTTCACACGCGTTCATATATTAGTTGAGCACCTTCTATAGGCTGGTCTCTCTTCTAGGTGTTGGGAATATAGCTGTGAACAAAACCAAGCTCTCGTGGAGCTTACAGTCCAGAGAAGGAAGTTAGACAATCAACAGATACAAAAGCTACAATGTGTCACATGACAACAAGAGCTATGGGAACATTATAGCTGGATAAGGGAGGGAAAGTAGCAGTCCGAGCAGGATGAAGTAGTCAGGGAACCTCCTTGAGAGGTAAAGGAAGTGAGGGAGCAATCCACATAGATGTGGCGGGGCGAGAATATTCCAGACAGAGGGCATAGCACTCCCACCAAAAACATGAGGCTCTCTGTTTACCCAAACTCTCACCAATATGGCCATTTCCTACCTCTCTCTCCGCTCCCCTCTCTCTCCCTCCCTCTCTCTCCCTCTCTCTCTCTCTCATCTCTGTCCCTCCTGCCCCCCCCACCCCCTCACTCCTCAACAGTCTGAAGTCAAATCAATATATATTTTTTTTAAAGAAACATCTTTTCGCATGTTTACTGATCACATATGATTCTTTTTCTGTGAACGGCCTGTTGTATAACCTTTGTCCATTTCTCTCTAGTGCTGTTTAACTTTTCCTTACAGATTTATAAGAGTGCTTATATTTCATTTTAAGGATATTAAGACTTTGTCAAGTAGAGAGCAAATATTTCCCCGATTTGCAATTTTTCTTCTAACTTGATTCCTATCTTTTTCCATAGAGAAGTTTAAAGGTCGTATGTAATTAAATCTGTCAATCTTTTATAATTTTCGATTTCATGGCTTTTAGAATGGTCTTCCCAAACCAAATTATATGAACACTTTCCAAATTTGGGGGTACTTCTGTGTTTTAATATGTTTAAGACTGGGATTTGGGTGGGGGAAGGTAGGGGATCTATGTTATGAGGTGGGAAATCTCTTTTTCCCCCCATTGAGATCCCAAGTATTCTAGCATCATTTATGGAACAATAATTTGGTAGTTCAAACTGTGAAGTCTGAAGCTGGACTGTCTCAGCTAGAAAACAGTTCCACTCCTCACTGGCTTGGGGACTTCAGGGATGTCACTTATCTCTTTGTCTCAGAATTCTCACTGCAGAATGGGGGTGGTACCAGTGTCTGCTTCTCAGGGTTAAGTGAGAGAATGTGTAAAGCATCTAGTACAGCGCACAATCGTTTCTCCACTGACTGTGGATGCCATTGGTATCAGGTCCTAAATTCCCACAAGCCCATTAGGACCCGTCTCTCTTCGGTCCCTTTCTCAGCCAGTACCTGGCTATTTTAATCGCTACTGCCTTGTGGGTTTGGTTAGGGGTGAAGCATTGTTTTAACATCTGAAATTACAAACGCTCCTTCTTTAATTTCCTTTTTCAAAATTTCTTACCTATGTTGTATCTTAGTTTGTTATTTTCCTTAATTTTATCAGAGTTTTGATCGGAACTGCATCCCATTTGAAGGTGAACATGGGGAAATCGTCACTTTTGTTCTACTGATTCTCCCCATCCAGGAGCAGAGTGTGTCTCTCCATTCACTCTCTCCTTCTGTGTCCCCAGGAACTTCATGGAACATCTGCACGAGGGTTCTTCGAGTTACCTATCTGATTTATCCCCAGGTATTTTGGAGGTCCAGATTCTGTTGTAAGTGAGATCTCTTCCATTATATTTTGTAACCGGGATGCTGTCAGTACATTGGAAAGCTACTGATCGTAATGTTACACCTCATCGTCACTCTAGGTTCCCATGTTGTTTCTATTCATCTGACTCCCTTTTCCTTTGCTAATGCCTTATGAGCCCATAACAATTTAGAGTTTACAAAAGATTTCCAAATACATTCTCTCATTAATTCTCACAATAACCCCAAGTGGTCAGCAAAGCACGATCTTCTTTTCCTTACATTGTACAAATGTGAAAGGCGAGGGCTCAGAAAAGGAACATAACCTGCCCAGGGTCCTTGTCCTGGTGGCTGATGGATGGAAGCCGGACGTGACCTCGGGACCCCCTGACTCCAAAGCCTCACTCCTTCTGCTGCCCCCCATTCATTAGTACTTTGTCATTCTGCTGTTACCCAAAAGTTTCTCGTGCCCACAAGCTTTCTTTCTGGCCCCCAGACATGCCATGTTCACTCCCACTTCAGGGAGTCTCCCCCACTTAGCACGTGAGCCCGTGAGGGGGAGACCCGGTCTGATTATTTCACCGCTTTGCACAACGCCTGGGGCAGCACCCAGACAGGGCCAGCTTCGGGGTGTGTGATCTGTGCAGGCACACGGGCCCCATGCTCAGAAGGGACCCTGCAGTGGGTTCAACCTGCTGTCACCCTCCTAATGTTCTTAATAATTTTACCTTTGCCTTTATGATTTGTAAGTGAAACCCAGTGGGACAACGGGGCAGGTGCCCAGGCAGAGGAGATGCCGCAGTATGTGTGCTCCCCACGCCTCGCACAGAGGATTCAAACTGCCCCATGAGAACAGAACTGTTCCAAAATCGCTTCGTGCGGGCTAGAGCTAATACTGTACTGTATACTGAAAATTTGCTAAGAGAGTAGATCTTAAATGTTCCCACCAGGAAAAGCAAAAAACGTAACTATGTGGGGTGATGGACGTGTTAATGAACTTACTGTGGTGATCATTTCATAGTGTAAACCTACATCAACTCATCACACTGTACACTTTAAATATGTACAGTTTCCTTTGTCAATTATACTTCAGTGAAGCTGGGGGATGGTGCAGGTGACTAGCTTCAAACACAGAAAGGAGACAGTGATGTCCTAAGAAACATCAACACCAAGGAATCAACACCTCCTATCACATCCTTTCTTAATGAACGTGGTAACTCACATATTAGCAAACTGTTGACTAAAAACGATGCCACGGAAGGAAAGTGAAAAATAGGACAACCCATTGTTCTTTTTCCTTTCAGGCCTTCCTTACTCATCAGTTAGGAAAAAAAAAAAAAAAAAAAAAGAGCGTTTTGGGAGGATGTGCACATATCCAGAAGTGAAATAAAAGCAGCTGAGTTAGTTTTGTCCACTCTCCTGGCAAGAATGAAATATCTATTCCTGGGGCTTCCCTGGTAGCGCAGTGGTTACGAATCCACCTGCCAATGCAGGGGACACGGGTTTGAGCCCAGGTCCGGGAAGATCCCACATGCCGCGGAGCAGCTAAACCCGTGCGCCACAACTACTGAGCCTATGCTCTAGAGCCCGTGAGCCACAACTACTGAGCCCATGTGTCACAACTACTGAGCCTGTGCTCTAGAGCCTGTGCTCTGCAACAAGAGAAGCCACCGCAATGAGAAGTCCGCGCACTGCAACAAAGAGTAGCCCCCGCTCACCAAAACTAGAGAAAGTCCGCGCGCACAGCAACGAAGACCCAATGCAGCCAAAAATAAAAATAAATAAAATAAATAAAATTTTAAAAATCTATTCCTGCATAAGCTATAAATGCAAATCACGTAATTTCGGTGATTCCACATGAGTTGAATGCTTATATTTGCATTCTAAACAGCCTTGCATGATATAAAGATGAGCCATAAAACTTGTGCTAATTTAAAATTTAATTTTGCTTTACTTAGAACAACATTCAGTGCAAGTACAAAACACTATGACAAGTCGAGAGAGAGAGACCACAGAAAAAAGCTTTATATTTTAGTACCTTTAATGCCACTTTTTTCCTGCTTTTTGAACCAGGGCCTTACATTTCACATTGGATCCTGCAAATTACATGGAAAAGTGACAAAGAGCTGCATCAGGAGTAGCTGGCGCAGGTAGGGCAAACCTGTGCTCTTCAAGCATCTCTGAGATGCACGACCATTACCCCAGCTCCACTCCTACTGCCTGTGCACCAATCCTCATGGGGCCGGATCTGCTCTAAGAAGAATCTCCTCGGCCGTTGCCCTTCTCCTCGCAAACTCCTGTAGGCAAATAGGAGCTCCCTCCAGTGCTCCAGGACTTAGGACACCTTCCCAAGGTTGGCTGCTACCAAGACCAGCCCCTTCTCTCAATTCCCTGTGCCTGGAGCTCTTTACCCGCCTCCTATCTCAGACACATCCCTCTGCAAACTGCTCTGAGACAGGGATGGTTCCTGTGCATTTTCCAAAAGTCATGACTAAAAGCCGCAGGGTGATATCTGCCAAGTTCACTGAGGAGCCAGGAGAGGACCCATGGGTGTCACACTTTCGGCTATCTGCATCTCTAACTACAGTCCCTGTTATCAGTTGGCTTTCTGGCTGGGAAGCACTCAGCAGCTGTTAGTGGCTTACCTTCTCGGAAAAGACTAAAGTAAAGAGTCGACGCCCAGCCTCTTCACTGGGTGGTTTTTCCCCTCCCGGGTGCAGAGGGGCGCCAGTTCCCACCACCCCCTCGTTCTCTCACCCAGCACTGCGCAACAATGTGCTTTGTATTCTTTCTGTCCTCTAGGAACTGCAGCGCTATTTTGTTATGCGCCTAATTACCCAGGCTCCTTTCCCCTTCCCCTGGCATTCCGGTTTGCCCTTGAACTCGGCATCAAGCTCTGGGGTTAGCCAGCGTAGGTATCTCGCTACCCTCCTACCCGTCCTCCTGCACTCCAAGCCTGAGGACCACAGGCCTGCACAGACGCGTGCGCGCATGCACGCGCACGCGCGGCTGCACCTGCCCGAGGTTTCGTATTGGTCACAGCTGTCGCGAGCTGCTGGCTGCTCGGCCCCTCTACACACATCATGTCATTTAACCCTGTGAGGGGAGAAATTATCATCCCCATGTCACAAAGACCAACCTGAGGCACAGAGAAGGTAGGAAGTGATGGCTTCTCATGAGTGACGGGCCCTCTAACCGCGAAGGCTGCGCTCCTCCCACCCGGCGCCGTTCCGCGCGTGTGGAGCAGACACGGATTGAGCATCCTCTATGCGCCAGGCCCACGACCTCATTAACAGCATCTCCGCAATCATTACGTGTTCTCCACTCTTTACCTAGTGGCGTTTACTAGGTCAGATTGAAGAATTTCTCTCTCTCTGGTTAGATTTTCCCTTCCATCCTATATTTGAAGTGAATCATCTCCAGCACATTCCCAGACCCGGAAGTACATCAGGATCACTCAGGAAGATCCTCCCACCCCAAAAGTGGTCCCTGGAACCTCAGACCTACCGACTGGGGACCTCTGGTGGTGAGCCCAGGAATCTGCATTTTAAAGCACATCCGTGACGCTGTCACAGCCAGGGCATTTGGGAACCCCTGAATCCTTTGCCTTTATTGGTGTTACTGAAACTTCACTGTGCACAGGAATCATCTGGGATCTTATTGAAATGCAGGTTCTGATTCGGCAGGTCTGGGGCAGAGCCGGAGATTTTCTATGTCTATACCATCTCCCAGGTGATGTTGATAAGGCAGGTCCGAGGACCACACATAGAGCACTAAGGGTTTAGGTCAGTGGTTCTTAGCCCCGGATAAACATCAGTATCATCTGGGGAGTTTTTTAAGCTAAGCTTCCCGGGCCCCACCCCCAGGAATCATGTAACTGGCCTAGAATCAAATCAGAGTCCCTCAGGTCAATGATTTATGGGAGCTGACTTGCACTGGTTTGCAAAAGCCTACCGTTAAGTTTTCAGGAATTTGGTGAGCGAGTTGGTAAATGGAGCCACTGTGAACCATTAAATTATATAAACTTAAATACATTATATTAAAAACAAAGATAATAAATACTCAAAACCCACTTCATAATTATTTTACTACATTTAACTACTTTTGTGCTCTTGGGGTGATTTACATCTATTGTAACTGTATGATGGAAATACCGTGTAACAGTATGCTACTGCGTATTTCTTCCCAATGTTCAATGATATCAGCCATGGTAGGAATATTTACACCTCTGAGATCTTCAAATGTTACAAATTGAGCTTCAGTTTCTCAGAAAACTGGCTGTGAAACATTTGCCAGTGCACCTGCAGCCCTCAGATACCTGCCTGCACCGGAATCCCCTGGGGCGGGGGGGCTTGATAAATGCAGACAGCTGGAGACTCCTTAAGACTTCCTGAACCAAGTCTCTGGGTGTGGGACTTGAAGAGCTGGGAATTTTTTTCAACTAGAGACCCAGGCAATTTCTTATCTACAATGAAGTTGCCTTAAAATATTAAGTCTTCCTACTTAGCAAAACTCAAATCGGATGAAGACACTTCCTCACTGGAACCCTTATCTTGTTAAGAAATTATTTTCAATGCATGTTGAAAAGACTTTGATGTGGGATCCAGTGCATTGCTGTCTCATCCAACTTCTGGACAGAGAGCTTCTCCTCCAGACCGCAGTAGAAAGATTCATCAGGAAACTCAGTGGAGACTTTGTCCCCTAAGTGTGCTGGTTCCTGACCCCACAAACAGAAGCATCAGCCTCTGATTTTTCCTTGGTAAAGATGGTGTGCCGCTCAGAATTTTCCATCCTCAAATGTCCCATCAGGCTTAGGTCCAAATTCAGACCTTTTTGAAATGGTTGAAGAGAATTTAGAGTCAAGAAACTAAATGACTAGGAGGACATAAAGGAAGTTCTGCCCAACGGCATAATCTGAAGCTTTATTTGAAATCTGCCAAGGTTTGCCCATCCCTGGAGTCATGGAACTGGGCAACTACGGTCCTTGTGGGGATTGATTGAACAGCCTACGTTCTAATTAACAGTTATTAAGCTTAATATTTCCCACGCATTAGATAAGAACTTACGTTTAGTTCCTTGCTTGTTCTTCCAGAAATCCTACAAGTATGTATTTCTGTCACCACGTTACAAATGCTGAAATGGTTTAAGAAACTTGCCCAGGTGGGTGACATTCCTCAAGTCTTAATCTCTAACCATGTGTATTAATTTCTTACCCCTGCATAACTAATTATCACAAACTTAATGGCTTAAAACAGCCCAAATTTATTATCTCACAGTTTCCATCCATGTGTCTGGAGTCTAGGAAAGGATTAACTGGGTCCTCTGCTCAGGGTCTCCCCAGGCTGAAATCAAGGAAGGTGTGGCTGGAGCTGTAATCCTCATCTGAGTTTCTGCCAAAGCCAAGTACCAATTAAAATATTTACTTAGTTTTCCTTTAAGTAAACTCACTTTATAAAAACTCAGTCTGTCCTAAGCATTAATGTCCATAAAAGTCCCAAGTTTGATGGTCAAGTTCTCCTTTGTTCCTAATGATACGTTAAAACAAACATGCGGTTATTTTTTAAAGTTTTAAGCGTTCCATCTAAAATTATCTTGTGCACCAATGTACCCACATCACACTTTAGAACTCCTCACTGTACCATATCTGGACTTCTTGACACCACAACCAGCACTAACAGGTCCTGGGCACCTTACAACTAATTTCTCCTGCCAACCAGCCACATCGAAGCTACAGAGCCCAGGCTGCCAGACCTGGGCAAGTGCAGGCCTGGAGACAGGTATATATTTTTTCATATGAAGCCTCCACAGATTTGATACGCATGTTATCAGCACCAGAAATGAATTTCCACAGCATGTCCTAGAGTGTTTGCAGATGTTTTGAGAACCTTAAAAAGTATCTTCTAATACAATATATCATTTAACCTTCACAAACTATGAGGCAGTTCCTGTCATCCCCATTTTACAGGTGAGGAAATTGAAACTCAGGGAAGTGATAGGGCAGACTGAAATGCAATTGTAGGTCCTCTGATGCATTCAGCAATGGTTTCTATAGCATCATCACTTTTTCCCAAACAACCTGCTAGTTCTCCCCCAGTGACCATTGTCCTTTCTCTCTTGGTAACAGAGCTCACAAATTTTGTAGCTGAGCACATGGCTACTAGGAATAAAGACTGCATTTCCCGGCTTCCCTTGCAGCTAGGAGTGGCCATGTGACCAAGCACTGGCCAATTGGGATGTGAATGGAAGAGACGTGGGCAACTCCTGGGAAGAGTCCTTCAAGAAAGTGGGTTATCAGTTTTTGCTCTTTCTCCTTTCTGTTGGCTGGAATGCAGCCATGATGGCAGGAGCTTCAACAGCCCTCTTGGATAATGAGGTGACCTTGGGAAATGGACGCCATGCACAGTGAAGCCACAAGCTAGGCGGATCCTCAGTCCCTGGGGACTTTTTGGAGCAGAGCTGCCCTACCATCCCTGAACAGCTTCCCTCTGGGCTGTTACATGATAGAGACGTCAACCTTTACCTTGTTTAAGCCACTGTTATTTAGGTCTCAGTTATTCACAGCCGAACCTTTTCATAACTAATATAAGCCGCAGCAAGGAAGGGAAACACTAAGGTTTCAATGTCCCCATTTTACATATCAGGCCCTTCTTTTCTTGGAAACAGAACAGCTGGTCCACAGTGGGGCTGTGGCAGCGGGAGAGGTAGCTGAGTCACGGCCCACAGGTGGTACTTTGAAAACATTCATCCACTTAGGTGGAGCCTGAACCGGGTCCTCGGTACCTGCCACCTACAAGCAATCTGGTGCTGCAAAGCCATTCCTTCTGACAGCTCTGCTTAACGATGTGTTCCCTGTAAGCCAGCTCCTCATCAGGAATTTAAAAAACAAAATCAAAGCAGCCCCACCAAGCATGCCAGGCACTGACAAATAGCAGATCAAAGCCAGCCAGACTGGCAAGACCCTGACGCCTTCTTTCCTGAGCTCTTCAGAGAATGTGGGAAATGGCAGATGATGGTAATAGAGGGGGATCAGAACTTCATTAGGGGGTGGAGGGAAAATGTGCCTAAGCTAAATAATGCCCACCCAGAGATGGCAGGGAAAGAAGGAGTGGGTTTTGGCAGGAACATATTGGACGAGCACAGAAGGTATTGTCGGACAGAGGAAGGAAAGAACTGTCATGTCTCGAAGCATCTCCAATGTTGACCTAACTCTGTTGGGTCAGTAGCACTGGTCCAGCCCCTGGAACCCTGCCGTGACATTTTCTCACTTCTTGAGTTGTGATTTCGCACATCAATAACAACTGGAGGTGGAACCCTTCCCAACAGCAGCCGTCTCCAGCCCTAACTCCCCATTGGATTCTCCCCAGGTGGTTTCCAGTGGTGCCGCCAATGTGCAATCTCTGGCGTACTGAGTTTTACTGCCCCCTTTCCATTAGCTCCAACAACGGAGACAAGACACTGCTGGCCTGGCGGAAGGAAAAACAATTAATTGGATGTCAGTATCCAGAAATGGAGAAATAATGGTAACTATTACTACTATTTATTTATTGCCTACAACGTGTCAGGCATTGTGCTGGGTGATTTATATCTTTAGTAATAATGGCTAATATTTATGGAATATTTACTCTATGTCAGGCACTATGTTAAACATTTTCACATGTAGTAGCTCATTTAATCCTCTCCAAAACCCTAAGAGGTAGGTACTGTTCTTAGCTCCATGTTACCGATAAGAAAAATGAGGCAAAGCAGTGGGGGGATTTCTCAAAGGAAGAAGGTAAGAAGTGGCAAAAGCTAGGATGGACCCAATATAGAGCACTTTTGGTCACTGGAAGGGTGAAAAACATGAACAAGCACAGAATAAACAGGAGGCGGGGACACTAAGACATTTGCACATTTCCATCACCACCTATCCCCTTACCCAGCCTACCTTTCTCCACAACCTTATCACTATATTATGAGTTGTTCATTGTCACATCCTGAATGTCAGTTCCACGAACGCAAAGATTTCCTTCTGATTTCTTTGCTGCCGTATTCCCAGCTCCTAGAACAGTGCTGAGCACATAGGAAATGCTCAGATAATGTTGCAGAAAGGAAGGAAGAAAGGGGGAATTAGAGGGAAAGAGGGGATATACAATAGCACGGAGCATTGCTTAAAGAGAAAGCTGCTGTGAGCAGAGTATCATAGAGGAAAGGAGGGATAGGCAAGTAGGTTAAAGAATAAGGCACTGGGCCCAGGCTTGGGAAGGACTACAAGAAAAAACTCTGAAACAGAATTTGATTGGAAACAAAGGCCCACAAAACCATGTTGAGGAGAATACAAAGACATTGACAGTTGGCCTTAGTCTAGGGGAGACAAAAAGGAGTTGGGGGAGGGGGGGCAACAGCAAACTGGAAAACCCATGTTCTCTTCAAGGGAATTAT